TGCGACAAGATGTTCACCTAAAAGACTAATAAAATTCTCAAAAAATTTAAATGCCGCACAAAAACAAGCCATCAGCGAAATTGGCTTGGGTGGATTGCTAAGCATACAATGCACATATATAAGGCATGATTTATGTGCATGGTTGACAGGACGATTTGATCCCCAGAGGTGTGCTTTCAACCTATATGGGAAACGGGCGAAGTTCAGCCCCCAAGATGTCACCTACATACTAGGTTTGCACTTTTCAAGTACAAATGTGGTGACAACGGGTACAAAGGACAACATTAACGGTCTTTGTACGTCTTTATTTAACAGACAACCACAGGTATCTTTGAAACATTTGTTAGAGCACATTAGGTCAATCATAGATGCCTCTGACAATTTTATACGATTGTCTGTTTTATATATTATTGCTTGTATGCTTCGTCCTTCAATGAGAACTATGCTAAGTGTTGCTACATTACACTTTGTCGTTGACGTCCCTGCATTGCGACATACTAATTGGTGCAAGTTTGTATTTGATGGAGTCATCGAAGGAATTCAAAATTTTCAATTTGCCGAACGGGGATCATTGGGTGGCTGTCTTGTAGTTTTGATGGTAATTTACTTAAACTTTGAGCAATTTTGGTAATGTGTATATTGTATACAATGGGTAAATAGTGTCTTATGGTCTTCATTTTTATTTGGTAAGTAGGTTTTCTATCTTGAACGAGTTACACTGAGAGGTCAAACCATCATTCCTTTGGTTTTTCGTGAGACCCCAAAAATTGGAGATTGGGGTGACAGTGATGTAAGTAAAAGAATGAATGATATCTTGAAGTTAGGAGGGTTCAATCTGGACGAGGTATAGATTTTATTAATTTTATTTTATTTCATTTGCAATATTGTATGGTATTGTCTTACATAGTATTTGATGCGCATATTCCATTCGTTTTATGTATGTAGTTGGATGTTCTTGTTGAGGAGGAGATAATTGATGATGTGCTTGGTATCATATCCCAGCAAGCATTGTTAGACGTATGTAAATATACAAGGTATAATGTCTATTGTTCCCAAAGAAGCCTAATATAAGATTATGGCGAATACATTTACCACAATTTATGTTTCATTTAAAAAAAAAATTCTACAACTAATTGACTGTACTGTGATTTATTATGTAAATCGGTTCATAGGATTTGCAGGTAAGAATTGGAAGACTTGAGGTTGTTGCTGATCGCATTGAAAAAAAGTTTGATACTTTTGCATCACAATGCACAACTTCATTTTCTGTGATGGAGAAACGACTGGGAGAGATTGGACATATTCTATCCCAATTTGTTAATAAATCGACGACTACGAAGGATGTCCCGCATGACACGGGGGGAAACAACGGAGATGATGAAATTGATCTGACGAAGGTGTGTATATTATCCATTGTACTGGTGAAACATTAAATGTGTTATTCAATGTATTACGACATCTCTTACTACTGACTTGTTGACGTGAACTAACAAATGTGAACTTTATATTGTAGGCTGACTTAGATGATCCACAAGCTGCAAAGGGACACCAAGCAGAGGAAGTATGATTTATTGATTTTTGTATTAAAAATTCAACATGCATTTCCAGGTGAGTGGCACTTTGAACCCCTTATAGGATACATTACGTTGTAGATGGCAGGTGTGGTGTTCCCCCGAATAACCCATATCAATGATAATGTGGAGCCCGCAATCTACATTTACATATTTGACAAAAACTTGCCATCTGAGTATGTGATGTTGTACCCTATATTTGAAGCAATATCATATGCTTAACAACTGGTAATTCTATCATTTTTCAATGCAACAGTGCATAAGATTATTGTGTTTTGTTTACGTACAGTGAGATTCTGGTATCAATTGGTGACCATGATCGAGGCACGAGGGGAATGTTACAGACCCTTTCCCCACACCAATGGCTTAGTGGAATTGTTCATGAATGTTATGTTTGTTTATTTTATTGTTGTTATGTTATGAGAATGAAACTAAAATATCGTGTCAGAAATTAGACATAGGTCATTGATATGTGTGCATGCATCACTCCACAGACGAGTCGATGGTACTTACCTACCTTTTTCTCTGTAAGTACATTTTTTTATTTCATACTAATGTAAGTGCATTAAAAGGGCAAAAACAAAGGTTTGGATATGTAATGACAAACAAAGTAATGGGTGTCTGTTCATGAATTTATGCAACAACAAGCCATGTGAAGCACAATCACCCGTAGTCAGTGCAAGGGTAACTCAAAAAAAAATAGAAGTTTAGTCATCTCCCTCTCCTTGATTTTACAACAACTACAAAGGTAGTGTATATTGAAAAATTCATTTTCTAATTATTTTTAAGTTAATCCATGCTACATATCAGATTCCTACAACTAATTTTATGAATAATTGTATGTTTGTATGTAGATTTATGTCCCAATGAATGATAAACAATCACATTGGTATCTACTTTTGGTGGATATAGAGAAGAAACAAACCTTCCTACTCGATCCACTGCCAAGTCCAAAAAGAAACAATATTCACCTCACAAATGCGAATAGAGTTGTAAGATACTTATTGTTTTCATTTAGCAAAGGATACTTGTTCACAATTTTTTTTCTTCAGAAATTACAGTCCAAACTTGTTTTGTAGATTGATGTTTTGGACGGCATTCTTGCAACTAGGGCTCCCAATTTAAACACAAATTGGGCACGTGGAAGCTCGTTAAAACAGCTTGGATGCCCAAACAAGCCAATGGTTTTAATTGCGGAATTTTCGTTGTGAAGATAATGCAATCATCACATTTGGGCCAAGGTTTTACAGAAAGGTGAAAAACAATAAACAGTCCGTGCTGACAATTTTGAATATCTTTAATAATACTACAATAAAAAAGTTTTAATTGTAATGGTTACATTTGTTAAATGCAGGATAAGAGTGAAGAAACTCGAAGAGAGGTGGCTATTAACTTGGTCACCGCTGAGGAAAACAATTTGAGAGGCAGAATCATACATATGGCACTACACACACCTTGACGTGTGTTTCGGTAAAAATTTGGATTCGAGAAAGAGACCTGATGGTGATGGAGCAACTGTTTACATTCTTTGTTTTGGTTCAGCTTTACAGTTACATTCTTAGATAAATGTATATACAGTTCTGCACAACTGAAATCTTGAATAGAAGTTCTTGCAGTGGATATGTATATAGGCAGCTGCATACAAACAAATCAATTGCAAATGATTTGTCGTTGCACTATCCAAAATGTTTAAGAGTTTGACAATGTGCTCATAGGAACATTAGTTATGATTGCAGCATAGCGACTGCATGCTTCATGTTATGAAAGCATGTGATTGTATGTTTTGCTCAATAGCTCATGCTATAGTTGTTGCAATCATGCTTGATGTCCCTGGGTTTTAGTGGTGCTGATATATGTTTTTTAGCTTGGTTGTGTACAGGGCAAAACTAAAGGAAGTTGTTTTAATGTTGTGGCCGACCAATTCTACCACCAGATTGAGTTTGATAAAGTGTATATGATCACCAATGGGACCCTGAAACCT